CAAAGGTAATTATTGCAGATCTTCTTTGATTTCCATTTCTGTTCATTAGTATGTATACTAACTTAGCATCTCTCTTTTTTAAGCATCGTAGTAGCAGCACTTCAAATGCATTTCTGGAAGCTCTAGCAATTTGGATGTGTATAAACTATGCTAATCTTATAGGCTGTAATCTTCATTGCCTTTGAATATTCTCGCTAGCTTGTGCATACCAATTGGCAAGGCCCATGAATATTTTCCTTTCTTAGATTTTCCACATATACTATTGCTAACGCTTTGTATTTGAACCTCTTGATTCATTCTATCTTGGCATCTTTGATGTTTCTGCACATGTATTCTACCTCTTCTATATTGATATTTGCTAGTAGATCCCAGATCATTAGATAGTTTTCTGTCTTTCAATTCTCTTCTGTTTTAAAGCTTTTTGTAATCTTAACTTCTGCTTTTGCTTGGCTTGTGTTTTTGTATTCTTCTTTCTTTCTTTTCCTGTTTTTGGCATTGGATTCTTTTGTTTCATTATCCTTCTTTGTTTTGATTTGTCTTGTACTTTCTTTTTTTTTCACTTGGTATTATGCTCCTCTTGCTATTCTGTTTTTTGAGTTTTGTTTTTGGTTTCTTCTGGTATAAGTTTAAGCTATTCTTCTTCTTTTTTCTTGATTTTGTCTATTGCTATATCTTTACTATACTTACAGCCAAAATCTATTTCTATCCAATTATTTCTATTCTTAAACACCTTTTTAACTGTTTTAATGTGATGATTTTTTCCTAGAATCCACTGGACATACTTTATTCTTTCTTCTTTGGATTCTCCTGGCAAGGCATATGTTGACATATTTGCTTTAAAGGACTTATTTTTATTGTATATTTGATTATCTGAAGACCATCAACTGTGTTCAATTAACCCTGTTGAAAACATTGTTTCATCTTCTTCACTGTTCATTTCTTCTTCTTGTTCTATTATTTCTATATCCATGGTTTTTACATTTGTTTTTTTGGTTTTTGTTAATATTTCTTCTTTAATTCCCAATTACTTATGACTTGACTTGTTTGATGTTGTGGTATAGTAATACTAAGCTTTTTCATTTGTATTTCTAGTGTTTCTAGTTCTTGCTCTAACTCTTTGAAGTTGTTTTCTTTTTCTTTATTTTGCTTTTTATCAGTAAATTTTTTTGTTTTATTAGATTCAATTGATATACTTATCTTATCGTTTCTGCTTTCTTCTTAATATGCTTCTTCTTCTTTTGTGTTATATTCAAAAAGGTTTGAGTTGTAACTTATTATCCTTAGCTTTTCTGCCTACTTGTTAGTTATCTCTTCCTTAAGCCAGCTTATCTTTGCTATTCTCAAGGCTTCTAATACCTGGCCGTAAACTAGCAAGTCTCATGGTATAATGTGTTTTGAATCGTAGATTGCCAAATCTTTTATAATGTGCTTTATATTACTTGGCCCTTTTGTTGGTGTTTTAAGAACTTGGTCTAATATTTTGCAATCTACATATCTACGATTTCTGTCTCCTATATCTTTAATGTACTCTATAATATCTTTCTTGTATATTTCGGACATTGGCTATTTTAGTTTAGTTGTTGCTATATCACATGTTTATTCTAGTAGACTACCTTACTACACATGTTTGTTTGTTTACTTTATTTATTTTTGGTGCTTTTCATGTAATCTAAATTGATCTTCACAACAGAGTTACAGAAATTTCCCAAAATTTTTTAAAATTTTTGTTTTTGTTGAAATTTTTTTTTAAAGTTTTTCCAAGCTATGCTATTTCTATGCTTTCTGCTTGTGTTTTGTTTCTTAGCTAGATGTAACTTTTGCTACTGCTCTTTTCATATTAAGGGTTAAGTGTTGTTTTCTAGTTGGTTTTGTGGTTTTTCTGTGTTTTGCTTCTTAACAATTTTTGGTCAAAGGATCTACAGAGGAGAGTGTATATGAATTGCAGACCTTAATATTAACTTTATAACATATTCTTAATACTTTAATATATTTTTTCTTTGTTTTTAGACTTCTAATTCAAATAGTTTAATAGAACCGTGACCTGTTATTAGTATATCAAGTCTGAGTTAATATTCTTTTTCTTTAATCTAAATTTTAGCAATCTAGTTAGTAGTACTTTTTATTTTAAGATTTTTGTTTATCTAATTTTTTTATATATATTAATATTTATTTTTTAGATCTAGTTTTTACATTAATATATTAAAAATTTATATTATTTTTCTATTTAAGTTTTCTTAAATAAGTATTTATTTTTTTTAGTTCTATAAATTTATATAACTACAAAAACTTATCTTAAGCTTGTATTATCTAATATCAATTTATATTCTTTTATATAATTAAAATTATACAAATGTCTTATAAGTTACTAGTTATACTAATGTAACTATAATTACAGATATTTATTTCAACTAATCAATAGAAAATAGTTGCTATAATACAAGTAATTATTCAAATTAATATCATTAATAGGTTTTGAACTTAAAATTTGCAGTTTTACCAAAAAACCCTAATATTTAAAATTTTGAAATCTATAATTCTAACATTATATAATACAATTAAAATTTAAAGTTTAACAATAATTATTAATGTAATTACTAATTTTTAAATATTAATTATTATGCTGCATAATATTAAGATTATGGTTTTTAAGATTTTAGATATCAGAATTTTATAATAGAATCTCAATTTGCTACTTGGAAAGTAATAACTTATCTATTTTACTAAGTTATTACACTCTTTAAAAATTTGATTTTAATTTATTAATTAATTTATTTACATATTTTATTTTAATAAAAGTTAAGCATTTAAATTATTTTTATTAAATTACCTTAAAGTTAGAAACTTCATATATATTTTTTTACAAAATATTAAAGTAATTTAAAGGTTAAATAAGAATTACTTCTAAGTATTTAAAAATTTTCTACTAGTTTTAATTTGTTTAAATTATGCAATTTAAACTTTTTTTTAATATAGGTTCTCAAGAAGTTTGTAGCTTATAAACAATAGGTTAGAATAGTATATTTGTTATTTTTTACACTTTTGCTGTTCTTTTGATCTTTTTAGTATACTTTTTTTTACAAAATGATCTTAGATTTAATATTGAATAATAATACAAAGTTTAGTAACACTATCATGATAGGTGACTTTGATAATTAGTAGTGTTACACCCGAAACTACCTCTTATAAGTTAGTATAACAGTTTTACTTTAGGTAAATTAATTAATATTGTATAAGGTTTTATTGCAGTTACGCTTTTAAAAGAATTAGAGTGATTTACTAAATGTATATGAAGATACTGTCAGACCTTGATATAATCACCAGGCCGGGAAACAAAAAATTGGTGATTATAAAAAGTTGTGAGGTCAAAACTTATGTTTTATATAAGCTAGGAACAAAAAAAAACAGGATGACTATATCAAGGTTGTGACTATATCAAGAGTGACTATAACGAGGTCTGACTGTACAAGTCGTATATAATACTTTAAGTTATTAGTGTATGGAGACACTATAACTAGTTTACTATTTATTCAATGTATTCGTGTATGAAAACACGATTACTCCTTTATTAGTTTGTTGAGTATTGAACTGTTTTTCTACAAGAGTGATATTTTAAGCTTATTTATGCATTTGTACGATTTAACATTGCCAAGTATTTCTAGTACTATTTAAAGCTATTAATTTTACAGGTGCTTAATAAAACTTCTAGCGCTATATATCGCTATATAGCACTTCGGTAGTTATTGGTATTGAATATTATGGATGATGTTTAAATCTGATGATACTGAAATTTGAGTTTGTTATTAAAATTTTTTGGATGCATTGTTTTAGGGTAAAGTTAGGATTTAGATTAATGTTAGGATTTAGATTAGTGTTATTAACAAAAGAGTCTAAGTGAATTTTGGTTGGTAGGTTTTATTTTTTTAAACCGAGAACTTGGCATTTGATGAAAACGTACAAAAAGACGAAAAGAATTTGTTTATATTGATCCAACAATAATGAATTAGTTATTCTTTATAGGAGATTATAAAAGTATTAAAGGTATTCCTTGCATGTGTAATGATATTTAAGTAAAGCTTTAAAGGCCGATGTTAATATATATTATTTTACGTTATTTTACTATTATCTCACAATTTGGCCAATAAAATCTAACTAATCATAATACAAGTTAGCTACGCTATTTTTTATAATGGATCGAAGTTATGATTACTACGGAGCTTTTGATATAACGAAAGCCACGTGTATTTGAGATTAATTATTTTTTTATAAGCTTTATGTAAATTTTTTTAGTCATCTAATTTTCAATAATATTTTTTAAATGGCAATTACTATTGTACACGGATACGTTATTCAAAATTTAGATATATGAAACCCACTTTTGTTTTAACAAAAAATTTCTTGCAAAATTTTAGCATAGATTATAACCTTTCCTATGCCTAAAGCTAACCTTTAAATTGAGTTTAGTTTTTAGTTTACAATTTACTACACAAATTTGTAATTAATACAATAATACCTAAATAGTAATTTTCTTTTTAAATATCTATATTATAATTGTGTATTATTATAATTATAAACATTAAAATATATTTATTTGTTACTTGTTTTTTAAATTAATTATCAGATATTAGTTCCGGACACACAATATTATGCATTTACCTAGTTACTAGTAAAATTCATTATTTGTCAATGCTAAAAGTTAAATATATATATCTATCAGCCACTATCTCTTTGATAAATACTTTTTTTTTTTAGTCAATTAATAATCAAACCAAAGCGTTACATACAACATTGGAAGCCTTTATTAGTTCAGTAATTTTGAATTAAACTTATAAATTCCAATTGGAACCTACAAGTCCAATAATCCAGTTTATAAGTCCAGGAAAACGAAGTTGATTCAATTGCTCAATACTAACTATATATATTATGAATTTTCAATGATTTATTTCTTTACAAATAGAAGGCTGTATTTCCAACACGCAAATGTTAACCATATATAATAATATTTATGAAGTAATATTATTTTTAACTTTCCATTCATCCCATTCTCTTTGAGTAGTTGGAAATCCTTTTTCAGCACGAATAAGCATTTCGGTAACCAATTTATCGTCGATTAACCTAACAATATATTGATATGGATTAAGTTTTGTTGGATCTTTATCACTTGGAGTATCTTGTACAACAGATTCTTCTGTAGTAGTAGGCTGTTCGAAAGAATCACCGGTAGATAATACATGCTTTTCTATATAGAACATACGTACATATGTACGTCTTATGTTATTATGTGAAAATTTAGTAATTTGTAATAAATGCTTCATAAAAATTTTACCTTCACCATTTTCCAATACTTTCAAACAAACTTGATCACTATTAGTCCAAACAACAGAATGAAAGTTGCGCGGATCTTCATACTGAAGATTAACATTCTGACATTGATCCACTTGAACTGTTTGAACTTGCGTATTAAGCTTTTTTTTTAATTTATGCTTATTTAGTATGTGTTGGTTTGATATATGGGGACCCCCACAGCAAAAGAAGGCAGTGGGTAGTTATAAATTTTGATCTTAAATAAGTATATCTCGTGATCTAGTGATCGGAGTTAAATGATTTTTATATCATTAGATTCATCTCACTAAGATGAATCTAATGATATAAAAATCGATCACTAGATCACGAGATATGCTTATTTAAAGATCAAAATTTAAAACTGCCCACTGCCTTCTTTTGCTGTGGGGGTCCCCATATTTAATATATAGTTACGTGCATACATAATTATTTAAATCTTACCTTAAGTGTAACATTTTGTGATTTCCATATTTCAATAGTTGAAGTAATAATTTTGTCATTAGCTGTCAAGGAAAGATTCTTGCATTCCTCTAATAGATATAATTGTTATTTATGCGAAATTGGCGCAGCAACTAGTAAATATATATACCGAACTTACCGATCATAATCTTTGTACAAGCAGAGTCCACAATATACGCAATATCCTCGCAATGACTCAAAAAAACTGTCGAACTAGACGAAATCGAAGATGAATCTAAACGTTCAACTACAGAAGTTTTGTTCGTCTAACAATAATATTAAAAAGAATCAAATCAGAACTTACGCAAGCAATTAGAGCTCGTTTGTTAATAAAAGCTTACGAAAAACTTTCGTTGACTCAGCAATTTTCCAACTAAAAATTCTGTAGACTGAGGCAATTCAGTGGCATTTCCAGGAATCCCTCCTTGTGATGATTGTTGTTCAGACATTTTATCAAAAATAAATGCGAAAAACTCGTCTTAAAGAAATAAAGGTGAAAAAATTATAACCCATTATATATGTTTATTATTCGGAATATCTTTTCTTTTTTAGTAGAAAAAGGAGCTTACTCAAGTAGTCCAAAATCCGAAGGTTATCAATATCACTCTATTGGTAGAATAAGCTTGGCCATTAGCTACGCAGCCCTTGGCATTTCTATATTGTCATAAATGTCGTATAACGATAATTCATAGTACAAGTAAAGCAGACAATTCTCAAGCAAAGGTGTTTTTATAAATGTGTAATGTACTCCATCTGATTATAGCACTTTCAGAAACTTGGATTTTTTAATGCACAGTAACTTTATACGTAGTAACTATATAGTTACTATTAATAGTTACTGTACATTAAGATATTTGGATTTCTGTATATATTATCGTTATAGTTAGGTAAGTGTATCCCGTACAACGCGGACCAGGGCAAAATCCAAATTAGTATCCGGTACTATACTAAGCAATTTTTCATATGGGTATTTTACATCCAACCATATAATCTTTTGAGGGTGTACTTTGATATGGGGTACTATGGTCTGTACTGTACGGTAACATAATTTGGTCAATTCTTGAAGATTTAATTGACTTTGAACTTATGGTTCTCCATTTTTGAGTGAATGAACTGAATTTGCATTTTATAATTCGAATTGTTTCCACCTTGGGTTTCAAAAAACTTTGGGTCCTATCGCGTGAACTTTTATGTTCACATGATAGGTTCCAATGTCCAAGATTGAATTCCAAAATTTGGTACGTATCAGAAAGAATGGGTATATATATCGAAATACTACATTGGCTAAGTCGTTTTTGAAGAGTAAAGTAGAATTCCAATATTCGGGTCGAAATACATCAGATCTGAATCAATACTGAGCAATACCTGCCAACTACACCTATAATAAAGTTACCAGTTGGGCATTTTTACTTAGTGAACGAGCGATAACTTAATTTGTAAGATTTAATTAATTCCGACTAAGGTTGTTAATGGATTGGTCTGGTTAGGTTGGTTTGAAATTAGTTCAACCCAAACCAGCTTGGAATATTTAAGTTCTAATACAATACTCTAATTTGATCTCCAGTTTGGCAAATTAGGTTTGAATTTCTATTTAAAAAAAATATATATATATTATAATTCACTTCAGTTTTAAACTAAGCGCTTCAAAAGTATGATACTTCAATTAACAACATCAATTTAACCCTCAAGAAACAGGAGGAACCATCGATGTTACACGATTGATCCTTCACCTGGTGTGCAACATATAAAAAAATCATTTTACAATACCAGATCATTCCGCTAATACATGTTATGATTATAATCCCACACCATTTTATTATAATAAAAATAGTGTTGGATTATAATCATAACATGTACTAGAGAAATGATCTGGTATTGTAAAAAATGATTTTTTTATATGTTGAACACCGGGTGAAGGATCAGTTGTGTAACATCGACAGTTCCTCCTGTTCCCTCAAGCATAACCACTAGATATGTACATTTCGCGTGACTTTCGCGAAATGATTTCATATTTCTCGCGAGATAAATTAATTGATCAGAAAAATTTAATAATCAGTGATTTATTGATTTAGGGGATGCCTAGTTCCACCATGGAAATTTGCTATTTCCGCCATGCTGATTGACGAATCAAATTTTGATCACGTGAAATCAGAATTTGATTGAACATCCATATCGGGAATAGAAAAACTCAACAGAGAAGAACTTTCAGTCAAGAAAAGCATAGAAATTCTAAGAAAGTGATTGGCACCTAAATCACCTAGTCCCAGTCAACAACTCAACTAGATGATTGTTAAAAAAACAGCCAACAAGAAAAAAGACATATTATGATGTTTTTTCAATAAAGTATTACAAGATCAACGATCTCTCTCTCCTGACCACTACGTTTAGGAAAGAGGGTAATTTTGAAAAGACAAAATAAACTTTACTTAGGGTCTTACTAACTTTAAAAACAGTAGCAGAACAGGGGCTCTCCTCCTTGTTCCTAGAAAGCATAAGACTTTTATCTTTGAAGTCTACAGAAATAAGAAAACTAAACTGACAACAACCTTTTCGTCTAAAAAACAACTAACAAAAACGGAAACTAACTTCTTTCTTGAAAAGAGTACTATGGCAACAGAAATT